TTAACAACATCTCCATTTGATTGTTGTTGTATTATCTATGTGCAGGTATTGTTGAACATAGGGGATAAAATGTAAGTCTACAAGTACCAAGTGACTTCTGGTAGCTGCAGATTTATTTCTAAGCTCTTTATAAAGTGTTTGCACTCCCTAAAAATGGTGGTAGCCAAGCTAACCAAGGGCCAGCTGAGAAGACACTAGGGTAGTTGAAGTTAGTCTTAATTCAAATTTCTCTTAGCTTAGAGATGTTAGAAATTAATACACTTATCTTGGCCTAATTTTAGGTTAGTATTGTGACTGTGCCACTAGACTAGAGGAGATATGGACATGGAATAATTTAACTTTCCCTATATTCCACCCTTTCTTCACTCCATGTATTTGGACATGTTTTAATCAGATGATGCTTGAAACCTGATGGGTATTTTGTTGATTTTAAAAATTAAAACATTATATGATATTTTTGGAAAAATTAAAAATAGGTTTCAGCAATGCAGTGGGCCCACTGTGTCCATGGGACTTGGGTTCTGGAACACTACACTGATATGACAAAATGCAGATGAGCACACTCCATATTATTATTTCATCCTGCCCACACTCACGTCACCACCATTTAATTATATGGAGCATGACAAACTACAATTGGTTGAATTCACAGACTACAGCTGGCAGATCCAGAGAGACCCTATCTATATAAACAGGTAACTATATGTCAGAAAGCAGGATTGAAATTAACAAACCTAATCCTTAAAAAAAAATCCTGCACCCAGTATATTTTTGGAAGAGATAGTCTGAGGAGTCCCTTGAATTTCAGCCACATTTTGGTTTTGGTTTTGTTCTTATACTTGCAAAGTATATTTCTTATACTTCTTATACTTACAAAGTACAAAAGGCCTCAGATAGATTAGATAAGTGGATCCTTCTCCTCGTGTATCATATTCCCACTGGTGGACAGAGGCACATCCTCAGAAAACCTATAAACAAGCGAGGAAACAAACAGCATTTTCCAGCTCCTCAGCAACTACTATTCAAGCTATTTATACAATTATTGGACCTATAAACTTCAGTCCTCGGAGCTTCCATCTTATCATATAGGAAAAGTGGTTCAAAATAATTCAGTCAGATAAAGAGTGACCCTAGCAATAAGGAAAATGAAGCAAATGCCTCTGGTGGCAAATCAAAATGAGCATGGAAATTATCACTTTTCCTTTCCTAAAAAGGACCCATACTGTCCTCTTCCAGCTCATCCTCCTCTATTGCAGTAATGTGAAGGCCAATAAGTGGCAGAAGCAGTGGCCACCTTACTTCCCACCTCTGGGAGCATCTGGTCCAGCCTGTGTCACACAAAATGCTATGGCCCCACTGTAACAACCATACCAAGTACTTAAGCATATTACTTTGAATAGGTAGCTCAATAATAAATTTAGTGGAAGGCAATTTTAAACACAGATGTCTTCATTGGTCACCAAATGCCTGTACAGAAAGGGCACACATCAGTAAGAAGGGAATGCCATAGGGTTGCAGCTACTATCACTTAGAAGGTTTTATCACCTTTGCATGCTGGCCTCACAGATCTTAGTAGCACACATTTGGGAAGGACAACGTGTAGAGTTTATGGGGAAAAGGAAAAAAAGAAAAATGTAAGTTACATTTTAAAAGTAACTGTGTGACTTCAAATCCACCAGCCTGATATTTTATTACTGCTAATATCATATAAAATGAAATAATGATAACTACCTCTGAGGATGCTTGCCATAGATGCAGGCGAAACGTCAGGAGAAATGCCTCTAGAACATGGCTCTATAGCCCGAAAAAACCCACAAGAACCTAATAATGATAACTGATTACATGCTGGTTAGGATAGTCATTATTTTTATTGCTTTTCTTTTAAGTACAATTTTTTTAGATACTTGTTCCACAGGCACTTTACTCATTCTTGAGGTCTGGAAAGCAAAATAGTTGCAATTTTAATTTGTATTATTTTATATGGGTGGCTTCAATCAAATGTACTGTAGGTTGTATGTCCAGCAATAGCACACAATAAGAACATACAGTAGCGGTAAAATTAGACTAATGTGCAGTTTTTAGCCTGGGCTGTGCTTCTGAAACAATGAACACCTTGCTCTAGCCCACTCCCAACCTCTGTCCAGTTACCCCATACCTGGAAGGCTAACAATTTTGTTTATGATTTATTCTACATTTCACTGAAATGTAGGTGTCTGCAAATCCAAATGCACAAAAAATCCCCATATTGTCTAATGTTTTTGAAAAACAGAGTTGCAGACACCCTCCAGAAGTAAAAAATTATTTTTCTGTAATCCTTATCTAATTGATGAACTTGATAGTTCTACATGAAACCCTTCTTTTTGCCCACTGCATGCCGTTCTCAGTTACCAAGATTTTTTTAAAATGAAGCAAAATGAAACATGGTTAGAAATGAAAATGATTCAAGATATGAATGTAATGCTAAGGATGGCTGGGTAACAAATGGTTCGTTTATTCATACGCTTTGGATCTGGCAAAATTAATAATACTTTGGGGTCATGCATGGGTTTCCCTGGTGAAAGGCCTGAGGAAGAGAGAATTTGAGGGCAAAAGAGTAGTGAACATTTGTGTAGCTCACATTTCTTTTTTCCAATGTGTCAGAATCATAGCCCTTAAAAAAACTCTAACAGAGCTTTCACACCTCATTTGTCGTATTCACCACTGGGCCACTATTCAGCAGAAGGGTGTGCTGCAAGGAGGTCAGTAAGAAGCTATTAGCAGAGTCTTCCCTAGAGATTTCTTTGGTCTTATTGAGTTGGAAGTTAGCATGACAGTACTGCAAATAACTCAGTTGTAGGTTTTTTAACGGTTAGCACAGATTTCCCTATAGTGTTTGTCACTTCAGAAAATTGTTCTTGAAAATGAAGTCCCAGAAAGCCAGCCCTGACAGAGGCCCTTGTGAGAGACGCTTCTGAAGAATATGGATACTGAAAAATATGTCATGCTGTCCACAAACTAACTATGATTTGCCATGAGGTGGGGGGAAGAGAGAGAGAAGGGGGAGATCTTAATACTGCTTGGGAAGGAAGCTGAAAAGCATGCTTTTTGCATTTGCAAAATTCCATGCAAGCACGGAATAATTGAAATAAATAGGCAATTATTCCAATGTGATTTTTTTTACCCCAGAAAAACAATTCTGATTATTTTGTCATTGTGTGTATTGGGGGATGAAAACAAAAGGATGCTGTTAGATATAGCTTTAGAGTTGTTGATAGCCTAACTAATCCCCAACCAGTTTATTCCCACCTTTTCTCTCTGTGGATGACTAGGGTGGCAGGAGACAAATAGCTGGAGAGGAAACAAATTATGCATCGCCACCTTAGGCCTACATACCAAAGGGAAATCTTCTAAATAGTAGAACTGATTATCTGTTCATATATTAATTCCATATATGTTCAGATAAAGCTATGTAGTTTATTGTTCTAAGTCTCACTGTTGTCAGAAGGAGAAATTTATGTTAGTGTCTAGCCTTCCATTGACATAAATATGAATTTTAAAAATGATTTCATTTGGATCATGTCCCAAGATGTTACATCATTGTTGCAAGGGCTAAGTACTATCAATTCTTATAAATATGAATTAGTAGAACTAATTTCTCTGTTATACTAGGGTGGGCCATGATAAAAAAAAGAAGAGATAGAGTGAAGTACATTCTGTCTCAAAATGGCATGAGAAGTTATTATCTTTGGTTTGTGTGTGTTTTTGATGCAAGGATCTGTATCTGAATAGTAGTATTTGACATATTAGAACTATTTGAACCAGGTGTATGGTTCCTAAGGGTGCAGTTTATTCATTGACAAAAGAGGTTGAAAATATTTTTACATACGAGTGAATGGAAATCAAGATGTCAAGTAAGTTTCCATGTAATCATAGTGATGCATTGTAGAGTACATCTCTTCACCTGAATTTCACATATGCAGTGATATGATCTTAAGTAATAACTAAGCAAAGAGAATGACATTTGCATTATTGTGAAATGGTTAAGAAAAGGAAAGGAAAACAAAATTACCAAGAGTTGAAAACTACCTTTTGATGAAAGACAAGGGTTCTTGTGGGACAGTTTTTTACTGTGTAAAATGTAGCCAACCTCGAGACCTCAGTTTTTTCCCCTGTGTAGAGAAAGTGTTCAATACATTTTGCCATCAATATATAGATACAGATAAAAGCACACTTAACTTTTTGACACTAAGAATTGGAGTCTTCCTGTGGGATACAGTAATGAAAATTGCATTGCAGTTAATTGGGGGAGGTATTCCATTCTTTCATTCCCAAGAGATTAATACATTATGAGGAACTGGGCTCTGTTTCTAAGTTGCTCCAGGAGACAAAAGTCATTAGCAGATGCAGCAATATAAACACTTATTTTTATATTGTATATCTATTTAAGTTCTGTTGGTTAATATGGAAGACATTCAGTCAAATAGCTGTTGTGGCTTTTAAAAAGAAAGAAAGAAAGAAAGATTTTTGTCAAAACTTTTAAAAAATACCCTAAAATCAGTAGCTGTATGAATATTTCTGAAAGCTGGAGGGAATGATCCCCTGTTATCTTGTATCATTGTATAGTAAATTCAAGGACATAGCTTGAATAGGCAGTTTAACATTATTTAAACAATGTTATGGAATCCTTGGACTTGTAGTTTAGTGAGGCACCAGCACCCTTTAGCAGAGAAGGCTAAACACTTTGTAATACTACAAGTTCCATTATTCTATCTACAGCATTGATGTATGGCAGTTAAAGTGGTGTCGAACTGCATTAATTCTGCAGTCTAGATGCATGCTAGGTTGATCTTCTGTTCTAGGCATGAGAGTGGGGAACAACCTGGTAATTCAGTCTTAGAGCACAATGTATGTGATATGTTATACTTTAATCTTTTGCAGTTGTCTTATTTTTTTCAATGTAATGATTTTTGGGGGATAGATCTATGATCTAAAAATGAAACAGAGCAGTGTTATGTCTTTAGATTGCAGGTATATACAATTCACCCTACAGAAAGTCACCTGATCCAATGGAATTGCAGTTAAAGAAAGTTAAACCTTTGAAAGAAAAAAAGAAGCAAATCTCAAAGGAACTTCACTGGCAAGCAGTGCCAGTTCTTCCTCCTATTGAAAGACAAAAACCTCAGGTAATGTCAATGTAATTTATCAATGAATCTTAAGGAATCATTTTTTACAATGCTAGATATTCTCACTCGTCTGGGTTCCAGTGTTCTTAATTGCTATTCTATAATAAACATTCATGAAATGATTGAAATGTTTTTGCTGCCAGCTTTATGAGAAACAATGAACGTGCTTTAAACAGGCACATAAAATATAAAATGAGACCCTTAGTTTGTATACAATGGCTCTCAACATGTATACTTGCAATTTCGTTCAGGAAGACTAAAATATAGATATGATGTAACCTGTCTTAATAAAAATGTAACAACTAAGTGCACCAGTCAATAAAAAGATATAGAAATTCTTCAGAGTATCCTGGGCAAGGAGACTACACATATGAACCTATGTTAACGTGGAACTCTACATCCATTTCATAGTTGATGAAAGTATTTATACCCATAGATTTTTTTCTAGGCATTAGAAAGAATAGAGATGCTCTTGCTCACATAGAATTCAACTTCTAATAGAATTGTAGATCACATGGCAGTCCCTGCATTTCTGACAGATGGATAACAAACTAACTTGATTAAGCCTTGTTTGACTCCGTGGGGCTCAGATCAAAATAGATGTTCCACAGATTTGCCCTGTTAAAGTTGGTACAGAGTTTTGAGATATATTCAATACCCAGAATTATTGTTTCCCTTCAATCTCATTTCAACCACAGAAACAAACAAGCAAGTTGCTAAATGATTTCACCTATTTTCCAGGTCTCTCCCCACACAATGCTTACTAAAAACTGCATTAGCTTCTCATTAAACTGAATTGTACCAACATATTTCAGGCTAGAAGCCAAATTTAGCCGGTGTTGAAGAGTCAACTAGCAGCATAGGCCCCTTCCATCCAGTTGTATAAAATCCACATTGAACTGGATTATATGGCAATGTGGACTCAGATAATCCAGCACAAAGCAGATATTGTGGATTATCTGCCTTGATGTTGCAAGTAGCTTCATCATCAAGCCCAGCTACTGGTCAATGAACATTTAGTATAATGCCAAGTTTTAAAACTTGTTTGTGTTTTAAATACATTTCAACTGTGCCCTCGGTTTGCTTCTGATACGAAAAATAAATAAATCTGTCTTGATATTCTGGGTCATATGGCTGTGTGGAAAGGCCTGTAGATTTCTGAGGAAAATATCTTTCCTAGGATGACCTTGAATTGTGGTCATATATTATTCATTAAAAATAAAGAAAATACTATTGTTTATAGAGTTCAGAAAATGTGGAACTCTTTAAAATCTGGTCATTATATTTAGTGGTCAGTTCAAACCAATTAGGTTATTTTTTGGAATAGATTACATATCCTGATTTCAGTCCCCCTTTTGCAAAAACTCAATTCTGTATACTATCAGTTAATCTGATAAGTTTTCCCCATTTAGATAAGTTTGTAGGGTTGTTGAAATTTATTTTAAAGTTCAGACATAGACAAAGAACTTATACAAGAAAGCCTTTCAGAACAAAGCAGAAGACTTCTGTTTATTTCCTTTTGCCTTGAAGAGAGAATTTGCTGTATAATACTTTAATCCTTTCCGTGCCCTGGGATGTACACTGTGGAGTAAATTTTCAAAGTACGGTGCATGGATTTAACTGTGCGACTCTTATTGATGTTAATGGGAGTCACACGGCTAAATCCCTGGGCAACAATTTAGAGGTATATGTCTGGGAAAGGTATATGTCTGGGAAAGGACATTGGTCTGAGCTGATGAAACAGCTGGAAATGAAAATCCAACAGAATGCACTGTTTTGAAAGTGGTCTGGTGGTGTGACAATGAGGGATTTATAATTACTAGCCATATTTGTGGCTTAGTACTCACTGACAGTACTATTTGACATTAAACTTCTGTGCTTTACCCATTAGACCCTATGTGAGTGTTAAGATATCAAAATTGTGTTCAAGGAGAGTGTTAGAATAGGAGTTATATTTGTATCTAGTCTTGAGAGGGGTGTTAGAATAGGATTTGTATTTGTATCTAGTCTTGAGAGAATAAACACTGATCTCTCTTGTAAAAGTGACATTTAGTATTATATATGACATATTTTCATTCTATGAATAGTATATTCTTAAAACGGCTCATACTATAATTTTTTAAAGGGGCTCATACTACTTATATATACATTCTATCAGATTTGTGGCTTTTATTGCTGAATTAACTAGAATTACAGACTGATGGAAGCAAAGATGATAGCAAAATCAGTCATCTCTTCATTAAAGGTCATTAATAAGAGCAAGTAAATTGCTTTATTATTTTTCTCGTTTTCCTTTTACGGTCTGCTGTCTCAGTCATGAGGATAAAAGCAAATGCTAAGGCTTTTATGTCAATGCAACCTTTTGAACTTTGGGGTTGCATGGTACTGTAGGCATGCAGGTTGTTTTTCTGCTATGGTCTGGAAAAGTATGTATGAGTCAGAGATATTGTTACAAAAAATGTTTAAAACAGGTAAGTTCAATGCAGGTTGAGTGTCCAATATCCAAAATCTTCAGGATCAGAAGTGTGTTTGAATGAGAACACTGCCTGAAATCTTATTGGCTCTGATGTTAAACTGATGGTGAAAGTGACAAGAAAAAAAACTTTCACTATTGGAACAGGTAGAGTATCCCTTATCTAAAATGCTTGGACCCAGAAATGTTATTGAGTTTGGATTTTTCAGATTTTGGAATATCTGTATTTGCATGTATGTACATAATGAGTTACAATTCAGCACAGTTGGATTTTGGGAGCTGCAGTAAAGCATGATATCCTCTGTGTTGGATTTGTCCCATTACATCAATTTATTGCAGAAATGTGACATGATATGAATTAAGAGCAGATTTTTAAGAGGCAAGTAACATAAGCTTTGTATTTACCAATAAAAACTTGTATCTTCATTCTTTCATTTGGCAGCCAGAATCAGCTAGAAAATGTCATATTTTTGTATTTATTCTCATTCTGTGTTCTTGCAAATTTCCTAGGTAATAATAATACTGTGTATTATTTGAAGTCTATTACTTGGTTGCACTCATTATTGCAACTTTATAATAATAAATAATAAACTTTATTATAAATAATAAACTTTATAATAATAAATAATAAACTTTATTATTTCATTTTCACCCCTTTAAAAATTCCACAGCATTCCCCGTAAAGTAATTTTATTTTGGGCATAATTATTCTAGAAGGGAGTTGAAGGTGGGAGGGAGAAATCTTGCACAATGAATAACTTCTATGCTTATTTGCATCCTTCTTTTCTAGAGTCCTGAAAATTGAAATGGTATGCCTTTAAAAAGTAAAGTTCCAATAAAAATCCATTAACAACTTTCAAATATAGCAATCCTCCTGTCCAGCTGTGAAAAGTACTAGATGATACTTATTTGCCATTTGTGTTATTTACGGTCCATGACTTTTATGGTAACTGGTTCCTATTATTGGTTTCTATTAATGTAAAACATAAGTGAACATAAATGAGGCGTGAATCATTTCTTTTTATTAGCCCTGCAGTCTTCACTCAGTTCTTGCAGTAACTCCAGCTGTGACTTGTTAGTGATAACCTATTTAAAGAAAGAGATCCTTCAGAATAAGAGGCATGATTAGGATTTTCTATCTCTCTCTTCTTTTCTCCCACTCTCTCTTTAGGGCTAGAACAATAACAGGAGAAAGGAATATAAGCTGTAATAAGCGACTCAGCAAAATTTTGTAACCTGTATCCAGTTACGGTGCTAATGATTACTGCTGGTGAATTTGTACTGATTACTGCCTAAAGGCAGGAGGTGATATAAGTCATTATTACAATGCTAGGTCACATTATATTTTGCCAAGTATATCTGGTCTAGAGCTCACAACAAGCATATTAGATAATAAGCCCATGTCGAAACCGAATCATATGCTGACATCCTACACATACATATAAAATTAAACAATGTATACCTAATGAAGCAGGTGGAGTGCTCCATCTCTACCACTTTTAGACTGAGGGACCGAGGGTTCTTTGCAGTTTGTCAGCTAACCTATACATTTTTGTAGATCCCTCTTATTACTTTCTACTTACTTGGTTTTTCAGCTTATATCCAAACAAACAGATTAAGCAGCAACACTCCACTGAAGTACTCTTCAATTTGGGACTTTGGGGATTTTTAACATTGAGAATGAACAGGCAGATGATTATCATATAGGATATTTTATACACAAAGACACAACACACCCTCCTCTGCAGAATGAATACAGACATTTTGGTGTCTAGACACACCGTTTATTATTGATTTTGCATTTCCGGTAAGGCATCAAATCTCTTACATCATACTCATACTCGTCGTATTATTTCATATTTATCTTAACAAACATCACTGTGAGGGAAGCAGCTATACAATATCCCACTTGAAAGAGAATTGAATCTTTATTTATCTTCAATGGATGAAACATATAGGCATCCATGGAAAATAATGTTCTTCAGGCATTTATCTATCTAGATCTAGATAAGTAGTTTCTATTTACTATTTTTTTATGTTTAGAGCAGAGATTCTCTCCCCCTCTCTATTACCAGTATTGTAAAGGTATTTACTAGCCAGGAATAGCAGCAGCATAAAGGTATCAGAGGCAGCTAGATCTAACCTGGTTGGAGAGTGTCAAAAACAGATTAATTTTGTCTCTGATAATAGAACTTTTGTATTGTCTCTAGCATCAACCTGTCCAATCAGATACAAATCCAACTAATCTCCAGTAATGTTAACAAATATTTTTTCTGAGGAATCAAAAATGAGATTCTTCACTGATCTCCAGTATGCTGGCTAATTGCATCAAGCTGGTGACCAATGATTGTATCAACCTGATTAGAACTGTCACCCCAGTCCAGCACATCTTTTAAGTTTCTTCTCTTTGCCATACTCTGGTTACTAGGCCTGGGTAACAACAGAAAAATTTGTTTCTAAAATCGATTTGTATTTGGGGTTTTTTTTTGTTTTGATATTTAAAATAATTACAAAATTTTCCTTTTAAAAAGTTCGATATTTACGAAATTTCGTAAATGGTAAAAAAATTAACGAATCGATTTCCGAAACAATAACGAATCGATTCGTTAATGGCGGACGCGACCGAGAAATACGCTAAAAAACCTCCAAAACCTTCTGAAGCTTCCCTCTCCCTCTGTTGTTGACTGTTGGTGTGATATTATAATTTTTTTTCACTAATTAAACCATAAAACTGGCCCAGACATGCGGAAATAATAACGAAACGACCTCAAAACAATAACGAAACGAATACAATATCGAAATACGAAGCATTTACAAAACGTTTTTGAAAATTCGTTTTTTTAAATAATTGCTCCAGAATGGTTCGTTATCGTTTTGTAATTGAAAAAATTAACGAATTATTAACAAATTACAAATTAACGAAACGAAACCGCCCAGCCCTACTGGTTACTTGTCTATTGTTTTCTCTGCCAGATCTTTTCTCTTATCATCTTGTTTTGTGTTGGGGAGTGCATACCCACAACCAGATAATAAGTTGGTACTGTATATATTCATGTATAATACAACCTCATGTAAGGTTTTTGGGCCCAAATTAGTGGTTTTGATATGACCCATGTACAAATGAGGGAGGGGGTGCATTATGTCGAGGGAAAAGCACAAGCACTGTCTCAGTGAGAAAGCCACCTCTGGCCCGCATCATCATTTCACCCCCCAGGTATTCAAAAAGATCAGAAGTGGGGGGTCTAGCCAAAGACAAGAGGGGGTTGCTGCTTCTTTTAGGTCCTCCTAGGATGAACTAAGCTCTTGTCTTATGCCACTCTACTCAGAGAAGGAGATGGTTCCTATTTTGGATAAGCGTTACGGTACAGTAGTCATATTGACTCATGGATTGGTCAACTTAGGGTTTTGGGGTTAGATTTTTTGACCAATCTTTTTGGACTTATACATAAATAATATGTGGCACTGCTTCTTAAACTTTGAGTCTCGACCCCAAATGGGGTTCCCTTAACTCAGAGTTGGTGTCTCAAAAGATGTGGCAACAATAAAAATTTTCTGAACATCACCTAGTGGCTGATTTGTGTATACATTTACATAAATCTGTTGTACTGTGTTTACCGTGGACTCTACAGAATATGCTTCAGTTGTACTTCAAAGAAAGGGAAATAACCCTTTTTAGCAAGCCTTGCAAATGCTGATTTGTTATCTATAAATGTTTGATTTTATAGCTATTTTATATACTTATATATCTGTAATGCAGTCTACTTCTTTTCCTACTGTCTTCTACATTGCCAAGCATTATTGCATTCTCATGATAAAATCATAGTTTTAGAGATCCATATTGGGGATAGCTATAGCTGGCATGGTAAACTTTTCCACATCTTCCTCTCCTCTGCAAGTTTTTACCCCCCTCAAAATGCTACATAGAGAGTCAAGGAACCCTGCTGAATGGGGTGAGGCATTGTTACAATGGAAGGAGAGGGAATCCTCCAAAATTAAATGGGTGTCCTTTATGTGAGTGAAGTTTTTCCATCAACAGGGGAAGATTTTGTATCCAACCTTTCATATAGTAATCTATATTATGTTTATGGAAACATTGGCATATTTTAAAGAATAAAATTAATGATGTTTACAATTACTATATTTGTACATTTGAGATGGCTGTACTGTATTTGTATATCAGAGATACAAAAACAAGACGATCCAAAACAAAACAAAGTCTACCAATTCCAGTGTAATACACAGAGCTCCTCTTGTGCCTTTCAGGGCCCCTTTCGTGATCCTGTTGAAGTACAACAGCAGCGTTATAAGCCTTTGGAAGAATTTTTAAAGGTGGCAGCATCAGAAGCATCACTAAAGCTTGCCAGAGAAAAATTAAAGCAGGAAGAATGGCGAAATCGTATACACGACAATGTGTAAGTTCCTTGCTTTCCATTCTATCTGCATTTTATTTTTTTAATTTATAGACAAATAGAAACTGTTGATTCTGAAACATTTAAAAGCAACCACTATATGAAAAGCCTGCCTAAAAGTAGACTTTCTTAGACCAAGATAATCAGATGTCTTAAGCCTTTGTCTATCATCCAAGAAAGCTGAAATATTTGAATGTTAACTTTTATTAGCTCAGTTGGGGTCAATTGGTCTAAATCAGTTTAAATCTAAACCCATTTCATTTTGATTGATTCAGGGATTGGGCTATTATTCTTTAATAAGCCTGCTTAAATATAGTTAGGTTAGCTGCTTCATCCACTGTTCAGCACAGATCTTGATGATGCAAATTGGGTATTATTAATATCCAAGAGAGAAGTTCACCATCACCAGTTTCTCCAACAAAGACTACTAATTATAGATTTCATCTTGAGTCTATTTATTGTGGCTGCGAGAAGTAATTAAAATTATTCCAAAAAATCCAGAGGCCTGAATGTTGGTGCACATGTAGTCCCAGATATTATGAATACATAAAAAGTCTAAATATTGGGCATATTTCTTCTAAATGAGAACATAAAGATAATTTCCCTTTGAGTTTTCAAGGGAAGTCTGAATTTTAAAACTGGTTTTTCAGTGTCCTAGTCCAACACTCAGTCCACTAGCCATGCTGGCTGCTTGTGCTGTCCAAAGTGCCAGACACAAAATGTAGGTTTGGATGTTTCTTCTTTTTATGTCTGTCTAATGAAGAAATAAATAACTTTCTAACACACATAGAAGGCATACCCAACCGGTGCTGCATGTTCATATCCAAACATGTGAGCCCAAGACGTCTTTCGGCCTGAAACAGAGCCACAAATAGAGTATCACCACCCCTAAGTTAAATGCGCAGTGTCCAAAGTAAGCAATAGTATTCTGATATTCCACAAACAGTTCTCAAAATACAACAATAATAATCAACTATGAATTGCTTCCCTTTTCTGATCCTCCCTTCAATTTCTGCCTCACTCCGTAATTATCAAGTCAGCCAGCATCTCAAAAGGTAGATACAATGCCTTATTTCAAGGGGTAAATGTTAGAAACCCATCAGTGGGACTTACGTAGGAGAGGGGAAAAGATGACATGTGAAAGCCTGTGTGAAAGCACTAGTCATCCTGAACAAGCAGTCAGCTGTATATAGATTGCTCCTAGTTACACCCAGTCCTCGGAAGTACGCGTCCAGAACCTTTTGCTTGTATTTTCTCCCAGTTTAATAGGGGAATGGTTCCAGTACATATTATCCTTCAATGATTGAACTGTTTGAGATTTAAATTATTTTTTTACAAGTTTGAAGAGCAATGGACAGTTTTTGGAAAAACAGGCATTGAATGTTGTGTATACAAATCTAACACATCTAAAACTTTTTTCAAGTTATGTCTACTATTTCAGATGCTTTGCAACTTTAGCAATTTGCATAGTTTCTGGACTATTATTGTATTATGATAAACAGGGATTATCATATATTTTCAGATAATGTTTTCTTAACAATTCAACTTCTATTTGTAACTCTTCCATTTATTTTAATTACTAGCACAGTGTGCAACATTTATTAATCAGCAGAGTCTTTTTAAGTTAAAATACTAAATTAGCTAACCCCATTAACACAGAATACTCCAAACAAGCAGTAATAGGAGAGGTAGTTACTGTGCAAATCGTATTATACATGCGGGTGCTCTAGGGCACAGTTAAGCATGATTACCCTCTTTTGATCCAGTATTCCTCTGCCTCTTCTAGCTAATTTCCAGTGGAAATTTACAAAGTGGTGCCTTCATTTTTCCAGCTTAATTTTTCTAATGAAGTTCTGGTACTTTATAACACTGGGGATGTAGATAATAAGTCTGTACATAATTAAGAAGTTCTAGAATTTGTCTGCAAAGAAGAGGTCTCAGTTACTTTTGCTTTATCCAAGAACTAGGCTAGCATTTTGTCTGAAGCTTTGCATCTACTGCAAACTAGGATTAAAACCAAACCAGCCCAATGATTCTTAGTTTTATATCAGAAAACATAATGTGCTCAGTACTTAAGAAAAACTAATTGCTAGGAAATTGGCAACATAACACTGCATAAAGTTTTTAAGTAAGAATATTCAAAAAATAAACATACTGAATGAAAGTATGTTAAGAATGACCTAAGCAGGTTTGCCTCTCCCCCTGCCCCTTATTGGGCAGTCTTTAAGCAACATGTTATATCTTACATGGGGCAACTAAATTAGAACAACTATTGATTTATCCTGAAATAAATGAGAGTCAGAAACATAACTGTAGAATTGAAAATTACCTAAAAGGCCTTGAGAAGCCAGATCTGGCTACGGTGGTACATGTCTTAGTTACATCCTGTCTGAGTCACTGTAATGCACTCTACATGGGGCTGCCTCTAAAGAGGTGTCACAATCTTCAGCCAGTCCAAAGAGCTGCAACTAGGTTGCTAACTGGGGCTCACTACAGGGAGCGGACAACCCCTCTGTTGCAACAGCTCCACTGGCTGCCAGTTTATTTTCTGGCACAATTCAAAGCTCAGGTCCAGGCCATTTGGCTCACCGCGTCTCCTTGTATGAACCTGCCCAGGCCCTGAGATCTTCAAGAGAGGCCTTTCTCTCAGTCCCACCTCCATCTCAAGCTTGGTTGGAGAGAAAAAGCAGGATTTAAATCATCATCATCATCATCATCATCATCATCATCATCAAGTCCATCCTCCACTGATACACAAAATTTCCTACAACACAGAACATACCTTGGAAACTGACAGGCAGCTTTAACTTCTAACAGAAGAAGTCCACCTGCTTTTGATGCAGTCTGTTCCATTGTTGAAATAGCTTTCTACAGCTATAAAATCATTCCTAAAATGTTCTGTGAACTATTGGTTTTAGTTTTATCTTTTGGAGCAACAAAGAACTAATTGAAGTTTTTGACAGTGAAAGCAATTTGAAAATGGAACCAATTGCAGAGAGAAGTGATGAGGTCTTCTCTGGATGTCTTGAAATGATACCTTACTTGAAGATCCTACATTGAGAAGAGGTTGGACCTAATGGCCACAGACTAAATCTATAATTCTATCAATTAAATATACACCTTAAAGCAGTGGTTCTTAACCTGTAGGTCCCCAGATGTTTTGGCCTTCAACTCCCAGATATCCTAACAGCTGGTAAACTGGTTGGGATTTCTGGGAGTTGTAGGCCAAAACACCTGGGACCCACAGGTTGAGACCACTGCCTTTAGTTATGCTGCCCCGAAACAGACACAGTATTGCAGGTGAAATGTGACAGAAACAGAAAAGTGATAACATTGTTTCTGATGAACTAGATGTGATATTTCTGTTGATGTAGCCTATTGTCCTTTTGTCTGTTTCATTGCCCTGCTGGCTCTTACTTAGCTCATAGTCAACTAAAACCCCTATCCATTATTGACATGTAATCACTGTGAAGACAGATGTCACCCACCCTATAACATACTACCTACTATTTTTTTAATTTATAGAACTTTAGTTTTATTTCTGCTTAAATATGGGCCCAGTTCTCCATCCTGTCAGATTAACCCTGAATCATGTTTCTGTGTTATTTTTTGTCCCACATACTTTGGTGCCACGGGCTAATTTGATTATCATGCCCCTATACATTTAATCCAATAATTTATAAAGGTAGGAAAGAACACTGGGTCAAAAAGAGAACCTTGTGGCACTCCATATCACTTTTATTCAACTTGGCAATATATAGTTAACAAGCACTCTTTGGATATGGTTCATTAACTCACCACAAATTTGCCCAACAGTTGCATTATCTAGTTCACATTTCACCAGCTTCCCAACAAAAGTATCATGGGTAACCTTGCTAAATGCTTTCACAGCATTCCTCTGATTTATTGGGATAGCAACACTATCACTTTTCTTTCACATTGTCAGCTTTCACTTCCTAACACCTCATCCACTTGTAATGGGCATATCTAAGATAGCTGGTTTCTTCTGTTTTTTGAAAAATGAAGTGAGTGGTGCCTACAAGCTTACTTTAAGCAAAGTTTGATTTCTAGTTGATAATGAAGGGTTGAAATCTTCCATTAATGTTTGTCTGTCCTCATTGAAAACATGGCAATTTTAATCTACAAAGACATCATCCAATTCTGACTCCTATAGAAAACTCCCATCAGCGAGGTTGTGTTATTTTCCCTCTCCTTTTTCCCAAATGCTCTCAAATGTCTTGCCATATTCATATTCACAATTTTCTTTACACATACATAGATCAATCATAGAATCATAGAGTTGGAAGAGACCACAAGGGCCAGCCAGTCCAATCCCCTATATGTATTTGTTCACCTGTTCATTTTATTCTCAACAAATGATGCCCTTCTATATATGTTTTCAGAAATGACACATGCTTTAGACTTTTCTACATTGACCCAAAACCTTGGTGTTGACCAGAAGTCACTCCTGGATGTACAGATGATGTCCAGGAACTTTTGGTTGGTAATGCAGGATAAAAAACGGGTAACCTGGTTTTATTCCCCCCTCTTAGGAAATGTCAGGAAATGGCCTGGAGTTTTGTTGAAACTCTGGAGCAGCCTCAGACCTCAGAGTTACTGTGAACAGCCGGACTGGCTGTGATTTGAACTGGTCCACTGTCCACACAGCCAGGTGCCACTATCCCCTTTTTCTTGCATTTGGTGTCACAGGGATAAGCAGATAGATCAGACGCATATCATACCCGCCACTGCAGCAGCCAGCCATGGAGATCCAGAGATCTCCCCTCCTTCTCCTTGGTCACATGGGTATCTTTGCTGATGTTAACCATTTCATTATATATGGCCAGGATCCAACAATGTACTTGTGCTGCATCTATTGCTCTAATTAGTGGAATTGGCACTTTCTTTCTCGCCCACATTGAGATCTTTGTGGTGGCAAAAGGAAGCTTTCTGGAACAATGTCCTGGTATGGGGCAAGGGGTGGGGGCTGGACTGGGAGAGGACTAGGTTCTAATTCTGCTGACAGAAACAGTCTGCCTGAAGTACATAATTGGATCCTGGTTCCTGAACTGTAAAATCTTCTATTTTCTGTAAATATTTGCAATATGTGTTTCCAGTCTGGGGGTAATCTCTCTTTCTCAAAACACAACAAAAGGCCAAACCAAGGGATATAAATTTAAGTGCCCAAAAATATTATATAAAGTAATTAAAGAATCTCCCTATATATATTTAGTATATATTCACATATACACAAGTATTGTATAATAAAATAGGAGCATTGTCTTTGCTACTGTGTAACACATTTTTGTTATAGAAAGCTGTTTTATTTCAATGCTTTATTGTGAATATTAAGGCTACCCTAAATTCTATCCTTTCATGGGCAAATTCCTAAGCTGCTAGCCTTGTCATTTCAGTCATCTTCCAATCCCCTGAGATAGCCAATTTTCTTTCATGTCTGAACAAAAGAAAAATGTACTATTAAAATGCAATTCAGAAGTGATAAAAACTGTAAGTGGAGCAGCCGGCTTTCAGCACCTCCTATGTATACTCAGGGACATTGGGGCCACATTAATTTTTTTTGTGTGTGATGTCCATCCCATGTGCAAATTAGCCCTGGAAGTGCTATAATCTGTCATATATGAGAGCCACCTGTCCCATGAGTATATACATGCTTGCGTAGCTTTGTATAATTTAAAGCTCGGCTACTTCTGTGCTTTTGTTTTGTTAATTTTCAAGAACCCTTGGTTAAGAATGCTTTATGGGCAATTTGACTGGCCAGATGCTAATAAAGACCAATTCTTTTCTTTGCAAGGAAGCTTTATTGATGTAATTTACTGTTGATAAAACATTAATTTCTTTCCATAAAGGACTTTCTACAAAAATGAGGAAGTTAGTTAAAATAAGAAGACTGTTTATAAGTGCCATTAACAAAGCTGTACACAGCAATATACATTAATATTCCTAACCTTTAAGAGGAAAAAACAAAATTATTCCTCTCTTTTTAAGCATCTTTTAATTGCTTAACTCTTCTGTAATGTAGAAGGTTTCAGTTATATTTCTTGGTGTGCTATATCTGCACAATAGTACCTGGTATAAGCATCTATCAAAGAGTCAGCATGGTATAGTTGTTTGAGCACCGGATTTCAGTTCTGGAGAGCAGGATTTTAATCCCTGCTCAGCCATGAAAACTCATTGGATGACCTTTGGCAAATCATACACTCTTAGCCCCAGAAAAACCCAGGAGATGTTCTACTTAGGGTTGCCATAAGTTGGAAATGACTTGAAGGCACGAAGCAACATCAGCAGCAGCAACAGTAATAACAGCATAGCCATCTATCAGTGTAGATAGTTTACAATTTAAACTTTGGTTCACACTCTCTCTATATGTATTTACTATTATAAAGGACATGGATATGTGGAATTGCCCTGTTATTCTCCCCACACTATTGAGGGACACTGTTTACTACCACTGCCTCTCTTACCTAAGCAAGGGCAATTCCACATATCCATTGTTATAAAGCCACTCCATTAATAAAAATATGTCTCCCATTCATAAGCTTAAATGGTAGCAGGACATCATATTTTCCCACCAGGTCTCTGAAAGACACAAAGATTAATTAGATTATATGTCACAAATGTTTTTTATCTGATTCAATTCGGTCTGCTTACCAGGGATCAGAGCTGAAATATGGGAGATACAAGAAGCATTATTTCCAAAGAGCTTGGGGTTTATCTTGAGATACTTTGGATTTGCTTTGGCTCTCATGGTTTTCTCTGTGTTTTTTTGGTCTTGCTTCTCAACTAAGTCACTGCACATATCAATTGCCCCTGCTCCTGTCCATCTTACACAGTGAAGGCAGCTGGGACGTGATTTTATGGGAACTTCACCTAGATCTTCTTCAGCACCTTCTCTTCATCTGGAAGCTTTCTACCTGCAGTGACCTCCATATTCTATCCCATTCACCTCTTCGTCTCAGGGTTTACCTGCCCACTTCCTTTATAAACTCTACAAAATTATAAGATTGTCCTTCCTTTTGTCTTTCAGGCTTTCCCTCTAGGTATCTTTCTACCTTTTCATTCTTTTTTTTCTCTCCCAGTCCTACTTTCCCATTTCTCCTATCACATTTCCCACTCAGCCACCCAACTGGACAATTTTGGAATTTAGAGTATTTTGAATTTCAGATTCAGCCTGTAGCAGGATAAAAAAATAAACATGTATGTATTTTACTTTTCAGGTTTTTGCCATTTTCAGGCCATGAAGCTGATAAGTATGTCCCATCGATGCAAAGAGCAAGTAAGTATGGTCAGTCAAGTTACGGACTCAAATATTTTCGGGAGGAATACCCAGAAAAGTGGATCAACAAAAAGGTGAGTTATATTGGAAAAAGAAAACCGAAACTGTACTCTGTAGACTTCTTTAAAATATCAAAATGAATCAGTTCCACTACACTTGAATCAATTTATGCTGAAATGTTATAAAAGCTCACTGAAGTATTAGAAGATTTTGGAGTGTTTTCAATAATTATTCCATAAGAGCATATCTTTCAGAAGAAATAAATTAAAAAATTGTTGAATAAATCTAGTAAAACTGAAGATACAGAAACAACAATAATCAGTTTTGAATTCTAACATTAGGAGTACTAATGTCTAATTTCTAATTTTTTTATTTTAAATAAAAAGTGACAATGACGGTAAAGCAGCAAGAAAGATTTCAGAGGTGAAAGTAACTGATCTTTGGCATAACAAAATTAAACTATTCACCTGGAGATATGTAACTATTGAAATTGAGATTTCCAGCTCTCCTGACACACACAGAAACACTGGTTTATATGGAGAGAATTTTGGTTTTACATAATAGCTTTTCTTTTCTCTTTCATTTTTTTAAAATGTTCAACTTAAATATTCCTTTAAATTTCAGTTTAGGATTTTCCTGGATTTGGGAATACCTGTATTTGTGTGTATATCGTGAATGTGTGATATGTGTGAGTGACTTAGTTGAGAAGCAAGACCAAAAAAACTCAGAGAAAACCATGAGAGCCATGAGAGAGTGAAGGGGTCAAAGTAGGCTAGTCACTTGCCCAGTACCCCCAAAACAAAAAGGCAGACATCCCAGAAACTTCCCTAGCTGTCAGCACATTTTCCACCCTTTTAGCAAAGTAGCTGGGAAGGGAAATGCCCATCCCCACCCCTTAAGTCTTTTTTTTTCATTTTCTCTGGGCTGGATACAACTGGTGGCCAATGGATTTGCCCTCACAGCCATTTCTAGGGTGCTCACGTTATGGCAGAAGCATCTGAGGCAACTGTGTTTTATGGGGTTCTTGTGTAAGTGGAATCTTCCTCTCATTTCCCCTCTTCTCTTTCCTTCATAAGTGCCTTGAAGAAAAACACAGCATGTGCAATCCTATATATAGAGAGGGGGTGTGTGTTGTGTTTTGGATTTCTGGATAAGGGAGTGTCAGACTGTTTATAATTTTCACAAAAACAGACCAGGTCTGTCCTATAAAGTAGCTTCTTCAACTTGGACTGGAAAATCTTCACATGGGATGAGACAGTATTAAACTTTTAATTGAATAGGTACTGCAGACTTCTTAATGTTTTAACAAAAGGCTTCATACCATCTCTTCTTTAAATGAATTGGAAGTCTTGCAAAAGGGGAATCTCTGTGTATGTACTAGAAGAGTGCCACCAAAAACAACTGCTGTAAAATTATCTAGTTCCTTGAATTATTTGCAGTGTTATCTTGTGTTTTGTTGGCTGTTGGTTCTACGTAAGCCGTGATGGCTATTTGGGCCCATTCACAAGCTTTATAAAATTGGGGAGTGGGGTCTTTGATAGAGGAGAGTGTACTAAAATTCACCCCTTATCTTAAACAGTGGTTATCTTAAATAGTGGTTATTTCAGATTTCAATGCAGTTGGACCTCCGTTCAGATTATTTTGTCCAAATAGCTCTGGATATTGAGGTCATTTAGAAATTAAGAAAATGATATCAAGACCGCATTGCTTAGAGACTGAAAAAGTTATTTTTTGAAGATAGCTCCCAGAATCCCCTAGCCAGTATGTCAAGTAGTACTAAAGGAAATATTTGTGCCAGTTGGAGTGACACAGAGTGGAAGGAGTACACTGGTTGGAATATTTCAATATCAGCAGCATACAATTGCTAGACTTTACTTTCTTCTTGTTTGTGTTATTCCCTTCAAACATGAGTCAAAATGTATTGTTGTGTTCAGACATTTTCATCATTGTCTGGTTGGCAAAACCTTTTCAGAATTTCTTACTACAGGCCATGATGTCTCGCAAAACTTTTAACATTGTATAAACAGTTGTTGAGTGGAAGGAATTCAATACAGGATAGGATGTCAAAAGTTTAAAAACTGAAGCCATATAGATCATCAGTCACAAAGCATGAAATGGAAAGAAAACAATTGAACAATTGCTTCTCGGCCGCCTTTATGAGTTCTTGTCAGCTTGAGGAAGCAAAAAAAATCTGATTTTATGTAACCTCCCTATGGATTAGAGTTAAAACTGACTACAGGAAAAAATATTTTGTAAACTTGAGCTTTGCTGCATTGACACATGATTTTGACAGTAGCATCTTGAGATAAAAATCACAGCAAGCAAACAGATTAGAGCATCTAATAATAAAATTTAAATCACTGCTGCACATGGTACTGACCTCATTTGACACTTCCAACTCACAAGTTTCATTTATATATAAGTTGTTAACCAAAAATGTGTAAGCTGAAATATCATTGAAATCAATAGGACTTAAAGAGCACAAACATGCACTTAGTTGCAGGGTTTTTTTTTAACATAATTAGTATGCACCTATAAATAGTCAGTTGTTATCTTGGTTACGCCAAATCTGAGTTTGTTACTTAGGCATTATCTCCCAACTTGTATAGGAACTAATGTAACTTCTTAAAATATATCCATATAGTGGATCCTTTGTATTATCTGGAGTTTGGTTCTAGGAGTCCCCTCAATTATCAAAACTTGTGGATACTCAAGTCCCAAATAAAATGGCAAAATAAAGGTTTGATTTTTTGAATTTTTTTCCTTTTGGATTTTTTTCAAGCTGTGGATGATTTAATCTGTTAATCTGTGAATGTAGAACTCCCATTAGTGCCGTGTTTCTCCTCCCACTTCTCCTCTAAGTCCAGGGAAAGCGGGCCACCTTCCCAAGGCTCAGAGGAGAAGGATAAACACGTGACTGGTAAGCGCTCTCTGGAGAGCACTCACAAGTGTTGTGTGTCTGTCCCAGCCCTCCTCTCATCCTGGGGACACAGCAGGTTGCCGCATCCACATGCTCAGAGGAGGGCCAAGGCAGACGGGGGCCTGAGGGAAAAGGCCAAAGGGCCGCATCCAGCCTGCGGGTCAGGTTTTGACCATACCTGGTATAAAGAATCTTTGGATCTTGACAGTCGTGCATCATGGAAGATAGATCCTGATCACCCACAAAAGTATTTTTGTGAGGTGAAGATGGAATCAAAAGATACACAGTAATTGCATTGGTGATTACCAAATATTACTCTGGAGATTCTGTAGTGAAAACATCTAGAAGGCACCAGATAGGAGAATATTCCCCTTACCTGCATAGGGAAATGCAAACCATATTTCTGCATCTCCAGAGCATTAGGAGAATATAGTCAGACCTCCATATCCACAGATTCTGTATCCATGGATTCAACCATCCATAGATTGAAAATATTTTATAGAAGAGATACATACATATACATCTCTCTCTCTGTGTGTGTGTGTGTGTGTATGCGTTGTGTATATATTGTGCATATATATTGTATATAGTGGAACTTGAGCACCCACAGATGTAGGTATCTATGGGGTTCCTAGAACCAAACCACAAGGGTCCTCTGCAATAGTATTTACACAACACATTCACTGAAAACCTAGATAGAGAGACATATGACAAATACCTATCTTTGCATCAATATATCTGGAGGATTTGAGGTAAAATAATTTGCATTGTTTAGACATCTCACTTGATATGGTTGAAAGCCTCCAAATGACTACTGCTGCACGTTTAAGAAGTGTGAAGTTTCAGAATTAAGAACTTAACAGACACCATGAATTTAATTGGCAGTGATAGCTCCCATGAAACTGGACAGTCAAGGGATCAGATATACTAACTAATCTTTCGGTTGTCAAAACACTTACACACTTCAATATTCACTGAAGCAGAAATGATAGCCTACAGCCTTTAATCAGAAGTGGAATTAGTTTGCATGTGCATTTGAGACAAATTACTTTTAATGACAGCGATTTTTTGCTGGTTTCCTTGTTTCCAAAAATGAGGAAGTGACACTTTAAGACCTTTTTGTTTGCCCATATTATAGGTGACTTACAACACAACTGCAGACCTTTCTTATTTGCACATGCATATTTGGCCCTAAATAGAATGTTATTATCTACAAAGCATAAAAATAGCCAGTCCTCCGAAGAATTAATTTAGAGAACCTAAGCATATTGCACAGAACATAAAGCTGACCTTTACCGTCTGCAGCTTTTGAAATGGAGTGGGATGTGGAACACATCATAGGCTTAATGTGGCACAACGCTGTCTGCAGAAACTTGGGTGGGACTGACTGCCTGCCCATTGCACCCGATGATTGAATCTGCTGTCACCAGCATCCTGATAATAATGAACATTCAGCTTAACGACCGTGATTATGATTATGATAATTGATGTGTGAGTACAGTGTGTGGGGATCATTATAGCTAAACTGTACAGCAGAGAAACATGGCTTAGTTATGGATAATTTTACTTTTACACACTGATTGGGATAAAATATGCTTTCCGAGCTCAACAGTCCATCCTAGAGCAATTTTAGGAAGAAGTCTACATGTGTGAATTGATGATCCGAGCCTGCTGCTGTTTGTTTTAAATTGTTTAATTTCATTAATATTGATAATTAATTAAATAATTGGATATCAACAAAAGGGAAACTTCTTCTGGGTTCAGATTGCATTGATCAGATGCCAAGTTAAAATTCTTTCTTACAGACTAAGAAGAAAATGTGTTATTTACAACCAAAGCATTTCCACTGAAAGTGGCAAGGTGTTTTACCTTTGTATTATTATACAGAATTTAACAAGTAAACATGCATTTGTTTTTTCATGCTGTTGTTCATATCATTGTTATCGTTGTAGTTTAAATCCTACTGTCTAAGGAGGAATCCTGTTATTTATTTATTTTAATTTTTAAATAAGTCTCCATTTTAATATTATAGCATTTTCCTGTGCCTGTGGGACCAGAATCTGTGGTTTCACCTCCCTGCATCAGATAAACTATGTCCTCTCTAGGATTTTTTTAAGCTCCTCCAGACAATTCTGTGGTATATTTCCAACATAA